CTGCTGTGCCTTTTGCTTACCATTTCTTCTGTTTCTATATCTTTTCTTGGCATCGGAACCTAATGTTCCGGCCATTTTGAGTCTGGTTAAATATTATAAACCGTGAATTGATGCAGTATGGAGAGAGTTCTTGTGGGGAGGTATTGCCGGTGCGTTTGGAGAAGGAATGATGCATCCTGTAGATACCCTTAAAACCCGTCTTCAAAGTCAAGCTATTGTTTCTGCAACTCAGGTATCAACAAGAAAGTACTTGTCACATTTTTAGCTTCCAGCTCTGTTTTATTTTCTAATCCCATGGAAAACTAATGTAGTGATCCATCAAAGTTTGCTTACCTTGAACTCCCACTATACATCATGTCAAACCTAGTCTAACTGCTCATTTTCATGTTCGTCAGAGCCAAAAGGGCATTATGCAAATGGTCCGGAGTGTCTGGGCTGCCGATGGTTTAAGAGGTACATTAGTCATGGTACTTTTCTTTCATACATATTGATTAACATAGAAGTTCGTTTTCCCCACTTATGGTCTTATAAACGGGCAGCAGACTGCGTATACTATTGTTCTGCACGCCACGAATTTTAAGAATTGAGAGTGCAGTTTCTTTTCAGAAGTTATCCAACTGGGTATATTATATCTTTCGGTTTGTTTTGAGCTGATCTTATTTTTAGGCTTTTATAGGGGAATTGCTCCTGGAATCGCTGGATCTCTTGCCACTGGAGCGACCTACTTTGGTTTTATTGAGTCCACCAAGATATGGATCGAAGAGTCTCATCCCAGTCTAGGAGGTCACTGGGCACATTTTATAGCAGGAGCTATTGGTATATCACCTGAACTTTGTCTTCATTATTCGACCCTTATGGTTGTTAGAAGATTGATTTTCCCTGTTTTTTGGGCCATGAAAAAATTCTTTCGTGTGTAACAACTATGGTTCACTTATTTCGCACTGGTTTGGAAAACCATGTAGCATAATTTAGAAGAAAGATAATCTGCATTAAGAATTGAGTCATGGAATCTCAGGCATTTCATTATTTGTTGAAACTTCAATTTATTGTCTGATGATTCTATCTGAAACCGCAGTCTTTATTAAATCATTTTAAAAAAAAATTGGCTGCTTTGTGCTTCCTTCTGAAAGGATTAAGGCTGTAATTTGAATTGCTTTATGAGGATAGTCCTGAAAATTTATGAATGAATTGAATCAAGTTGTGAGTTAATCTTGATTTGGAGATGTCAAAGGAGTTCATGTTTTATGTTGCTTCTTTGCTTGATCCAGGTGATACACTTGGTTCTTTTGTATATGTTCCTTGTGAAGTAATAAAACAACGGATGCAAATTCAAGGCACAAAAACTTCCTGGAGCTCTTATATTACGAAGAACAGCCTTCCGGTGAAATCAAGTGGTCAAATGTATGGTTATTATACTGGAATGTTCCAGGCTGGATATTCAATATGGAAAGGGCAAGGGATAAAAGGGCTGTATGCTGGGTATATTTTCACGTTCTGTGTATTATGCTGTTCATTTCATTTCCTTAATTGTTGCATCCTCATAAAGGGACTCATCTTGCGTTTTCTTGGTTTGGCAGATATGGGTCTACACTAGCAAGGGATGTTCCTTTTGCTGGTCTTATGGTATGCATCACACTTTTCTGCTTTATTTAAAATCACAAATATAATTTGTTTCGTAGTTTCAGTAGAATCTCTGCAACTGCTGTTTTGTAATGTCAACGAAGGGGTCTTTGTAATCTCATCATCGCTCTTTCCGTTTCTCTCCTTCTCTCAGGTAATGTTCTACGAAGCACTAAAGGATTTAACAGAGCAGGGGAAGAAAAAGTGGAATGCGGATTCACAGTATCGAGTCAATAGTTCTGTTGAGGGGCTTGTATTGGGAGGATTAGCTGGTGGTATGTTTCTTCGTGTGTTTTGAAGTAAAATGGTTTCAAATGAGAAATAGCTTAAACACGAAGACCATAAGTATACGTAGTTCATTCCAATGATCCATGTTTTTAATTAATTTTCCCAGGACTAAGTGCTTATCTCACAACTCCACTGGATGTCGTGAAAACAAGGCTGCAAGTGCAAGGATCGGCTATCAGGTACCACTTGCGTTATTGTAGTCGACCCATTGGTCCAATTTTTCATTTTTTTTAGCAATCGAGAATTTCATCGTCGATATTCGTCCAACATATCAAGTTCGTCATACCCTTATATACATTCCTAGCCAGAGTTTAGGACAAACCAGTTGTGATATCGCAAGATTCTTACCTTTTTAGTATTAGGGGATCCCGGGCTGGAAAGAAATGTTCATTAATTAGGCTTTTCCTACACGGTTGGATTTCATATGGCCGATAGGTACGATGGCTGGTCGGACGCAATCTGGAAGATATGGATGAATGAAGGGGCAAAGGGGTTTTTCAAGGGAAGCGTCCCGAGGGTGATGTGGTATATACCGGCCTCTGCACTTACTTTCATGGCAGTAGAATTCCTCAGGGAGAATTTCAACAAAAAGTTTGATACTGAGAAAAGTGGTAGCTTGTCAATAGAGGCAAAGAGATCTTCAGTACATGAGGTTAGTGAACATTAAAAAAAAAGATGTATTGTATCACTCTTCATCATAGAGACAGAGCACATTCATGGCCATGGGGTTAAATATTGAATATCTCGTTCACATGTCCGGAAGGTATATCACGTGAGAGAAATGGGAGGGACATTAACAGTAGGGCACGGCCCGGTGCTCATAGTTGTCTTGTCTAAAGCCTCTGGTTGAAAGAGAATCTTCTTCGTTCCCTCTAAGGTCCCTTCATATATATACATCTTTGGGGCTTATAAAAGATTTTGGTCTTGTGAGGGTTTAGATGATGAGACGAGGGCTGGTGAAATTACCCGATTCTAACCAATTTTAAGTTATCCCATTAACTCGGTTTAAATTTGGATTTGTTAAACAAATTGGATTCGGATTCGGATTCGGACTCGGACCTCATAATGTTCTAGCATTGTATCTAACGTATTTAGAAATTATCATTTATATCTATTAGAAATTATCAAATTATTTTTAATAGATTAAAATTTTTCAGTTTTTTTTATATTTTTTGAAAAATAATTTAAACTGCATTACATTTATTAAAATTATTTTATTTCTTTTTGAGAAATTACCATATTAATACATATGTAAAATAAATTTAAATGAATACATGAATTTTAAATTTTTAAATAAATACGTTAACTCTTATATGAAGTCATGATTTTGTTTAAAATAATGAAAATAAATGATTTTTAAAAATCGCCAATAAATTAAATTCTAAACTTTTAAATGATTTCAAATATCACAATGATACGGTGATTTTTTATTTCAAATTTTAATGTAAAAGTTAAAAAAAAAAGGTTTGTAAATTCTTTTGAAAATTTTAAAGTTCCTATATTTATTTGAGATTTGTTTACATATTAATATGCGTGTTTCTCTTAATAAAAGTAAAACTCGATTATTGAATAGATACGTCAATTTCAAAATATAAGTTATTAAATATAGATATAAAGTTTGGTAAGATTAGATGTGTAAACTCGATTTAACTATTATTATATTTGGGTTTCTTTTTTGGATTATAATCATTTTACGAATTAAATATGTTTTAACCTATGTAACTCATGGATTAACTCAATTAATTCATTAAACATTTCATTTTTTTTGTCATGAATTAGTTTTGATTAAATAAAATATTAAAAATTTACTTATAAAAAGAGATCATGTATTTATATTTTAAAATTAAAATCGAGTTTGTATCAAATATAAAAATAATCGAAAAAATAATTTTTTAAAATAAAAAAATTATATAGAAAATCGAATTTGGATCGAAATGGATTGATTGGATAGGAATCGAAACGAATTGATTTGAATTGAATTCGATTCGAAACAAATTAAAAGAGATTGAATTGATCGATTTAGATCAAATTGATTGAATTGATTCGAAATGAAAATGAATTGATTAGAATTAAAATAAATTGAATTTGAATCGACATAAATCGGTTTGAATTGAAAGCAAATCGGAATAAAATGAATTTAAGTCGATCTAAGTCGAAATAAATTGAATCTGAATCGGCATGACCCAATTGTACTATTTGGGCACCGTGGTTTGTTCGGATCTTGTGTCCAAAATTTTAGGGATAAACTCAAATATATTTTCTTTGATATGCTTTAAAGATACACCGTTTTTTTATAACACATCTCGAGTTGTATATATATATATATATGCTTTGCTCTCCAAGAGATACGAAACAACGTTGTTTTCTTCTTCCGCTCTGTGGAAGAGTTCGGGAAACCGCGTGAATCGATCCAGAAACCCTAACCCTAGAAGAAGAAGTGAATGGCGTCGTCGGAGAAGCGATGCCTCTACGAAGTTCTCGGTCTGAGCAAGGACTGTTCGCCGGACGAAATCCGTTCCGCCTACCGTAAATTGGCTCTGCAACGTCATCCCGACAAGCTCGTCAAATCCGCCGGATTGTCCGAAGCCGAAGCCACCGCCCAGTTCCAGGAGCTCGTTCACGCCTACGAGGTCCTCTCCGATCCCAAAGAACGCGCCTGGTATGATTCTCACCGGTCTCAGATTCTATTCTCCGACCATGGCTCCAAATCCGGAGGAATCCCCGGGAATGTTCCCGATCTCTTCGCGTTCTTCTCGAACGCCGTGTATTCGGGGTATTCCGACACCGGAAAAGGGTTCTACAGGGTATATTCCGATCTCTTCGATAGTGTTTGTCGGAACGAGGTTAGTTTCGCGAAGAAATTAGGGTTGAGGATGGATTCTGTGAAGGAGGCTCCGATAATGGGAAATCTAGAGAGCCCGTATGCTCAGGTTACGGCGTTTTACAATCACTGGTTAGGGTTTTCGACTATTATGGATTTCTGCTGGGTGGATCAGTGGGATGTGATGGCGGGTGTGAATAGGAAGTCGAGGAGGGTGATGGAGGAGGAGAACAAGAAGCTGAGGAAGAAAGCAAAACGAGAGTACAACGAAACCGTGAGGGGGTTGGCTGAGTTCGTGAAGAAGCGGGACAAGAGGGTGATTGATATGGTAATGAAGAAGAATGCAGAGATGGAGAAGAAGAGGGAGGAGGAGAGGGAGAGGAGGAAGAAGATGGAGAAGGAGAGATTGGAGAGAGCTCGGAAGTATGAGGAACCTGAATGGGCAAAGGTTCAGGAGGAAGAGGAGGAAGATGTGGGTCTCTACGGGTTTGAACAAGAGGATGATGATGACAAAAAGAAGAATGAGGAGTTTTATTGCGTCGTTTGTAGCAAGAAGTTCAAAAGTGAGAAGCAATGGAAAAATCACGAACAGTCAAAGAAGCACAAAGAGAAGGTGATGGAGTTGAGGGAGTCGTTCAGTGACTTTGAGGAGGAAAAAGAAGAAGAGGAAGAGGAGGAGATAAATGGATTTCAGGGACCATATGATGAAGTAGGAGAACTGCATGAGAAGCTTAAGGATGGCTTAACGATTGACGATAAAAAAGAGGATGAAGCAGAACTTGAGGAAGAAGTTTCAGGTGAAAACAGCGGAACAGGTGGTGATGATTTCGATGTGGAGGAGGATATGAAAGAATCTGGTCAAAGCGAGGACGAGGATGACGAAATGAGTATACTTAAGAAAATGGTGTCTGGGCAGAAGAATAAGAGAAAGAATGTCTCATCTAAGGTTCGAGTTGAGAATGACAGTGACACAGCCGGCACTAGTGAATATGATAGCTACAAAAGCACAGGGAGGAGTAGAAAAGGTAGGAAGGAGAAGGGTAAATGGTACGGTGGAGAAGCCATGGCAGATCACTCTAATGGAATACCGACCCCTGCAGATGGCATAGTGGACTCAAGCTCCGGAGTTTTTGACCATTCTCAGAAGGATGAGGAGGATTTCATGGAATATGATAACAGGAAACGCACAGGGAAGAACCACAAGGGTAAGAAGGGGAGGGAGAAAAAGAACCGTGGAGAGCCTATGATGAAAGATATTAACGTAACAAAGAGCGGTGATGAGGATGATGCTCAAGATAAGTTCAGACACATGGAAGAATCTCATCCCGAAGCTTTGGATCGGGATGAAAATGTTGGCCAGACGCAAGAGTTCAACCACAAAGATTCAAGTCATTTCCATGACATCGGTACGAAGTCAAAGAAGTCATCCAAGGGAAAGAAATCAAAGGTATGAAATGATCGTAAGCTTAGATATTGATTTCTCTTACTTGTGTATGCAATTCCTGGCTAGATCTTATCTTATGGGAAACAGTATCAAAGTCTTCTGCTTGAAAGTGCTCAAGGTTTCAGCACGTAATTGGCTGGATAGATATTTATCAGGAAAGCGTAAACTTAATACTTTGATTGACATTATTGAAATTAAACCAATAAACAAAAGACCCTAATCATGAATAGAAGTGGATTTGGCAGTGATTATGGTAGTTGGACTTGTGGATCTTGGTGAGGGAAACAAAGCCAAAGTCACTGTCTTAGTCTTAGTTCATGTATTATGTATCTAACTCTTGGAAACTTTTGAAATGCAGAGTAAAGAGAAGAATCCCAGTAACTTGTGCGATCGATGTGGAGAGGAGTTTGAATCAAGGTCAGTCCTCCATTTGATGTTTTTATCAACATGATTTCTCTAATACTTGAATATAAAACAGTTTTCCTTCGGATTAACGATCGATCCAACCTCGTCTAGGAACAAGCTACACAAGCATTTGGCTGACACCGGTCACTCTACGCTGAAATCCCGATGAATTTAAAAGCTCGGGGAGACAGCACAGCTTAAGCAGAGACATAGTAACATCAACCAAAGGGTTGGTTGCATTCTTTGATTTGACTTGTGCACGCATTGTGCTGTTGTAATTTTTGAAAGAGGAGAAAAAAACATATTGTTGTATTGGGGCATCTTTAGAGAAAATGAAGAGATCAGTTGAATTATGGTTATGGCCGAGCCTGAGATTTATTGATTATTGGTTTAAAATGTCAAAATAGGTTATTTATGAACTTGTGTCATGGACGGACCATGTGATATGTTAGAGCTGTAACCAAATATTATAGGTTTTGGAGTGCATAGTCCCATGCTGTGTGATTAGAGAGTGGCTTAGGACATTCAATTCACATCGCAGGTCGGTCCAATTTGATTTGATGGAATGGAATTTATTGGGATACGGATTGCCAACATTCCAGTCATAAAAATTTAAAAATCATTTTAAACCGTGTCGGAAACTGGGCACACAAATACCAACACGATCTGGAATTGTTCCGTCTCGGTGTCCTAAGTCAGATACTGGAAATCTGGTCCCCCTCCACTGCTGCTTGCGTCAAGACATACACATCGGAGCAAGTTGATAACAGCTGGAAACCAAACCAAAGAAAAAACACACAGACACACACAGAAACATACAAAGATTTGGAACACAACAAAAGGAAAACACAGTTCTTGAAAGATTCCATTACAAAAACAAGAACCAACAAGTGGACCCACGTCACATTACATCCCCAAACAAAAGACACGACCTTTAACCTCACAAGATCAGTGAACTCATCAAGAGGATAAACGCTAGGAATCTGTAGAGGTTTCCGACAGGGTTTTGAAGCCTAGACCCGGGAGAAGGATAGGTGTAATCCGGGTTTATCCCGCCTGGTCCCGACGTCCCCATCCCTCCCCCCGTCGATGGCATTCCCGAGTATGGCCCGATGTTCGTGGTCGTCGGCACTCCCGTTGTTGGCGTCGTTGTCACTGTTGTCGACGTCCCGGCCGCACTACACCAGTTATAAGACATCATGATCCAGACCAAACATGACCATACACAATGCAACGACACTATCGTAACTCAGTATATTTAAGATTTCATTCTACAACCTTCTATTGTAACTCTATAAATTAAGATGTATACTACTATAATGCTCTTAAAAGGATTTATCATGTATCCTATACAGACAAAAACACAGATCTTAGAACTTTAATTGATCTTATCTAATTGGCCAAAATCAATTGCAAAGACACCATTATGTCAAAAAAGATCGAACCAACGTTAATGCAACACGAAGAATCGAATGAAATGGTACGGTACCTCGCACTTGCAGGAAAAGGGCAACCAGAGTAGCCTGCAACAATATCATTGTGAAACAAGGCAAAGGTTAAATAAAACGCAGAAACAGTTACTTAAACTTTTTAGCAACAAATACTTATAAATACGTATTCGTATGCTGTGTTTTATGCAAAGGAGAAACCATTGTAGATTCACACTGAATCCAATCATAGAGATTGGAACTTGTTCTTGTGTATGTTAAGCTTGGAACATGCATCATAAATTTAAAAAAAAAAACACGTGCAGTTTTTGTGTATTACTAGGCCAGATTTGATATCTTCCATTGATGCCCACATGAAATAATTCGTCGGATATCCTTAAATGTGGATTTGAAATGCAAGAAAAGTGTACCAATCTCATTAAAGGAACTTTCAAAGATGGTACTAAATGGGACCAAAATGTCATTTTCTGACAAGATTAGAATCTTCTCCGAATTCAGAAAACAAAAATCCATAAACTTTAAGCAAACAAGCTGCTGGCTCTCCTGGATCTAACTGTTTGCACTTGATCTAACCCTAAAACCAATATTTCTCATAAAACTCATATCTCTAGTTGATTCACCACCAAACCCAATTCTCATTATCAATTCAACTATGTAAATTTGCCAAAACTATAATCAAGTTTCCGACCATAAGATGAACAACAAGTGCAAACAACGATCCTAAGAAGTTATCAGCATCCATCAAATGACAACATACTTGGTAATACCAACACTAAGTTCCGTGAATCCGCCACCAAAATTATGACTTTTGCAATTACGGGGGTCGGGATTAGGAGACTCACTGGGGTCGGAGGCCGAAAAAGTGGCAGTGCCGGCAAAGTCACATGAGCCGGGGGACTGTGACTTCTTCTGGAAGTAACTGTTAACGGCGTAAGAGCAATGAGCCTTGACGGTGTTAGGGTTGAAGCAAGGTCCATTCTGGTGGATGGGTCCACAGTCTGCTCCTGCCCCACACGCGTAGTCCAATGTCTTCTGCAGCATTCCGTCGCTTAGCCCTTCTCTGCATACACACCATGTTCCACCTATACATACACATGCGCATACACATATACACATGTGTTGCACATATTACCCCACCACCACATACACACAGATATCATCATTTCTCATTATCAAGATTGGCCTTTTGTTCATGATCAAGAAGATTCAGCCTTCTCTTCATACACAGCACGTTACATACATACATATATACATATACATGTTACACATACTACCCCACCACAAACACATTGATTCCACTATTGTTCATTATCAAGATTGGATCTTTTGTGCATGATCAAGATTACCCCTTCCCTTCTCTGCATTCACACCATATCCCACCTATACATACACATGCATGTGTTACACATATCACCCCACCACACTTTGGTTTCACCGTTGTCCATGATCAAGATTGTCCTTTTTTTGTTTTTTTTCATAATACATGATTAACCATGTGAAAACAAACCACTGTTAGACAGAGAAATCTCAACCGATTCAGCCTAAACATTGACACAAAAAAGTCATAGTTCAGGTAAAATATAAGATTTTCATCAAGAATTCTCAAGGGTGAAAAATGACAGGGCATGTTCCCGAACAGGAGAGGACTTCTCTGAAACAAAATCTCATACTGAAAAGTGCCAAATGTATGAAATCACATGTCACTGATACTAATTTGAAAGTGATTCACTGTGTTGTTCTGAATCAAGTGTATACAGAGAGGTTGTTCCTTTTCACGCCTAAATTCAGCATAGATGGCGTTCATATGAAAGAATCCATTAAACCAACTGAGGTGGCATCAGGGTGGTCCAATAAAGTTATGAACTTGGCAAGAATACAGATTTAGTTTTGCCTTTCACCGGAAAATTTTTTGAATTTACAAGGAAAAATCAAGATATGTTGAAAACCAAGAAAGAACCTAGCAAACCTCATTCCAAAAACAGGAAAATACAGGATGTGGGATTTCTTGCTCTCTTTTTTCTATTCTTTTGACAGAATATAATAATTTCGGACAGCTGAAAAGAATCATACATACATACACACACATATATACACACACACATGTAAGTGAAATTTGAGGACAACAAAGCTATTCAGGTGAACCAAGAAGCAAGGAGAGTGGAGAAAAATCTTCTTTTTTGCTGCAAGACAGAGCGGAGAAAAGGGTACACTGGAGCGAGAAACAAATGAAAAGGGAACTCTTTTTTTCCCCCTTTTTTTTCCAGGAAAATGGAAGCAGAAAGAGAAGAGAAGATCCATGTTAGAGAACAGAAAGAAGAAAAAAAAAATTAACTTTAAAGGGTTAAAGAAGGGAGATAAATCTGGACCCCCAAAAAATTAAGTGAAAGAAGAGTGTTAAGTGGAAGAGATAAAGTTTTAATTTTACTTACTTGAGTAACCAGCCATGGCCAGTAAGAGCACTGCAACAGCAATTGCCATTGTTGCTCAAGAAACAAAGTATGGGTGCGTCTCTTAGGGCGAGAGAGAGAGAGATTGAAGGAGAATCAAAGAGATTGTGAGGCTATAAGATTTTAGAGAGAGAGAAAGAGAGAGAGAGAGAGAGAGAGAGCATTGGGGACAGTGAAAAAGAAGAGTGTTTGCCGAGATCCTGCGGAACAGCACAGTAATGTTTTTTTTACTTCTCAATGCCTCCACATTCAAATTTTTCTTTATTTTTCATATTTCTCTTGTTACCATTTTTTTTAAAGAGAAATGAAAAGAATAGGAGTGAATTTAAGAGAGTCCCAAAAGATTTGAAATTTAAAGTGTGCAAAAAGGATTTATAAATTTTTCCAAAAGTTTTTATTTTATAAATTGATCCGAATTTAATGAAGGATACCCATAAATTAAAATTCATAAGATAACTATATACTAAAATATAAATGTACATTAATATTTTTGTTCTACCCATTAAGAAAGTTTTCTTTTTTTTCCAAAAAGAGGATTTTAATTTGGCAGAATCATCCAACAATTGCAGTACTTTTATTTGCGGGAGAAAAAAATAAAAAATAAAAAGAGTATGTTGACGTCATTGGTAATTTAATATTTGAACGGCTGGGATGGACCACCGTTGAAGTGACCGCTATTGGGGTAAAAGATAGTTATTTCGAATTTAAATAATATATAATTTTAGTTATAATTATTAAATTAAAGTATTTGAGTTTAAATCAAAAATAATTTATTAAAAATTAATTCATATAAAAATAAAAATAAAAAAATTAACTTACAAATATATAATAAAAAGGGTATAAAACTAAAAAACCAAAATTTACCACGAAACTAAACAACACAGATTTTACAAAATCGAAAAAATTTATTAAAAAAGATTCAAACCTGAGTTAATCTCATCCTTAAATGGACCTAATTTTTAGTACAATAAATCTGATTTCAAAGATTTCAAACGATAAATCTGAAAATTAAAATTTAAAACGATTTCAAAGATTTCTGATTTCATCATCCATCAACATTCATTTTAATGAAACGCCAAAACATTTAAATAAAGAAGTCAATATGAAAAACCGAATCTAATACACTAAAAAAACAAAAACAAACTATAGTAGTGATTAAACACCAATCTATGTCTCAGTTTATAACAGATGAACGCTTCAAACAAAACAAGTCCTTCACATGGGAGGATACAGCACAGATGTACCTAAACCTCCTGCAGAGAACTAGAATGCGTTTTGAAGCCTACCCTGTTCATATGTTACTCGGATACATGAAGACTCTGACCCGAGCTCCCTGCCAAAGAATCAAAAAACTCGGTTAAAACCCGACTGGAAAACTGAATCTGTAACGAGAAGATTGTGTTAATGTGCGATTCACGGATTACCATTGACTTTGGTGGCAAGTTCGACTTAAATTTGGCCCGAACCACACCGCTGTTACCGTGAGGCCTCGTGACTTTTCCCCAGATGCATCGGTAATGGCTTCCGTTCTTCTTTGTCTTAGCCTTGTAGATGTAAGCCATCCGCTTTCCCTGATACCACGACACCTCCTCTTGGGTGTTAACTCCTTCAATCTGGACAAGAGATGTGTTTGGGTACTGGTTCGACTTGGACCTGCACATTGAGCCATTGGCAATCAAAACTCAAGAACAAGAGAATAAGAACAGACTCAATATAGGCGCTGAAGGATCAAATCTTGATTGGAAGTGATATTATTGAAAACAATCATCCTCTAGAAGAGGCATAACACTGTTTGTTCTTCAAAAGGAGCTTGCTTCATAAGCAAACACTCATAACAACTACACAATTCGATATCACGACGTTCCAGGAACAATCCCGAGTTTAACAGCTCAGCGAGGAGATAATCCTATTTCAGTACTAATCCATTAAACAATTTTCAACCCATGGAATGTATCAATAAGCTGAAATGCAAATCAAGGAAATTAAACAATAGCTCACCTTTTGTATCCAAGGACGGTTCCCCTCACATAGAGTCTGCAAAACCACAAAAACCAACCAAGTAAACAAAAGAGTCCACATCACAATTGAACAATCATATACATCCCTAATCAAAAGCAATTTAAGCCAAAAAAAAATTCTACTTTACTACTTAAACTAACTAAGTAAAAAAAAAAAAGGGTACATCAAAATCACACAACAAGATAGATTCCTGAACCCTCGAGAGATCGCAAAATGTTATCACCATCTAATGGGCTAAAATATACAAGTATCGGCTGAATCTCAATAGCAAACTGAAGTGTTCAACAGAAATCGAAATCGAGGACAAGAACTTCGTCGAGCAGGAAGGATGAAAAAATCGGTTTAAAGAAGCACCTGACGCGCTCTCCTTGACGTCCCTTCACCATTGTTGTTGTATCGCCTGACTGGAGAATGCCTACGCCGAAGAAGCGGAGAACAAAAACCCTAATTAATCGATTCTTATTTTATACGGCGACATTGTCTCGGGTCAGGATTTTTATGGGCCCATAGTCCGATGGGCCGAAAATTATTTACGGGCTTTTTATTTAATACCACTAACAATATATTCCTCAAAAAAGTCAAAAACTTCTAAATGTATAAATAAATTAACCAGTTTTCTTACATAATTAACATCTTTCACAATCGGATTTAATCGAATTTTCAAATAAAGAAATTTATTTGAAATTTTTTAACCAACTTTTTCTAAACAAAATACCATACACCAATATCTCCACTTCACAACATCTTTGTTAATATCAGTTATTACACACCACAAAAAAAAAAAAAAAAAAAAAAAACCCCCACAAGACAATGACAAAAAAAGTTTAAAACCGCAAAAGTTTATCAAAAACACAAACTTCAGTCTTCAACCATCTCTTCATCGTCATCGTCTACCACCTCCTGAATCTTCATCTTCTTCACCGCCTGAGCCGCCTCACTCTTCCTCGGCCCATTCGGGACCTGAATTAGCACGTCTGACTTCCGCCCCGTCTCCGCATCCACAAGCCCTCCGTTCCTCTCCACCCGATACCCAAGATCGCTCCCTCCCACACCCGCGTCTATGTACACCGTCGAGTTCTCATCGATTTCTTCCCGCACAAGCATCCTCGAAAGCTCGGTCACAACCCTCTTCTCAAGCCACCTCCTTATGGGCCTCGCTCCGTACACCGGGTCATAACTCTCGGCCAAAACCACGTCCAAGGCAGCATCCGTGACCGCCAGCGCCACCCCTCTCTCTGCCAGCCTCACGGCGACATCCTTCATCTGGAGCCGGGCGACTTTCCTCAATTGCTCATGCGAGAGAGGGTCGAAGACGACGAGCTCATCCAGACGGTTCAATAGCTCGGGCCTGAAGTGCTTTCTCACTTCCTGCATCACCCGGTCCCGAGCCACTTGCATCGAGACCTTCCCTGTGAGCCCCGAGAGTAGGTGCTCGGCCCCAAGGTTCGAGGTCATGATGATCACCGTGTTTCTGAAATCAACTGTCCTGCCTTGTCCATCGGTTAATCTCCCATCGTCTAGGACTTGAAGCAGAGTGTTGAACACTGCAACATGTGCTTTCTCCACTTCATCGAACAGTATGACGCTGTAAGGCCGCCGCCTCACAGCCTCGGTTAGCTGCCCGCCTTCCTCGTGACCGACGTACCCAGGCGGTGCACCAATGAGGCGAGAAACAGAGTGTTGTTCCATGTACTCTGACATATCAATTCTCACTAGCAAGTTCTCATCGTCAAAGAGTTGCTCAGCAAGGGCCTTAGCAAGCTCGGTTTTCCCAACACCCGTTGGACCCAAGAAGAGGAACGAACCTGTCGGTTGCTGTGGCCTTCCTAGCCCGGCTCTCGACCTTAAAATTGCCTCAGCAACAGCGGTCACCGCTTGGTCCTGTCCCACGACCCTCTGGTGCAACCTATCGGCGAGACCAATCAGCCTCTCCTTCTCATTCTGGCCGAGTCTCGTCACTGGAATTCCCGTCCACCGGCTAACGACCTCAGCAATGTGTTCCGGCCCAACAGTTTCCGTGAGCATCAAATTCTCTTCGGAACTCGGTTCGAGCTGAGCAATTGCGGATTCCACTTCTTGGATTGCCCCATACCGCAAATCAGCAGCTCGGGCAAGATCATAACGCCTCTCGGCCTCCTGCAGGGCAAATATTAGCTCCTCTCTCTTCTGTTTCAGCCTCCGAATCTCATCGATTCTTTCTTTCTCCTTCCTGTACTTCATCGTCAACGGCTGAAGTTTGTCCCTCAAGTCATCAAGCTCTTTCCGCACCTGTAGGATACAAAACGGTTATATCGACTTACACAAGACAGAAAATTTCCACCAATCTTCTATCGCCATTAAATCGAGCAAAGAAGATGGATTCTTACCTCCACGAGCCGAGCTTTACTCGCTTTGTCCTTCTCCCTCTCGAGGGCATGGAGCTCAATCTCCAACTGGATCCTTTTCCTCTGGAGGTTATCGATTTCTTCAGGCTGGCTATCAAGCTGGACTCTAACATTAGCACACGCCTCGTCGACCAAATCAATCGCCTTATCGGGTAAATGCCGACCTAATCAGACAAGAACCATAACATGTCAGATTCAAGAACACGGCATACCAACACTAACCACAACATCTAAAGATCAAAAAGTATAAAACATTACCAGTGATGTAACGTGCAGACAGCTGAGCAGCCACGACAAGAGCCCTGTCCTGGATGCGAACACCGTGATGCCCCTCATATTTCTCCTTCAAACCTCGGAGGATACTAATGGTGTCGGGGACATTAGGCTCGGCCACGTAAACTTGCTGGAACCTTCTTTCGAAGGCAGCATCTTTCTCTACGTATTTCCGATACTCCTCGAGGGTAGTAGCTCCAATACATCGAAGCTGACCTCTCGCAAGCATCGGCTTGAAGAGATTGGCTGCATCCATCGACCCTTCTGTTCTACCGGCGCCAAGAACTAAGTGAATCTCATCTATAAAGAGGATCACTTTCCCGTCAGCCTCCTCGACTTCTTTCAGTACAGACTTCAATCTTTCTTCAAACTCCCCTCGGTATTTCGCTCCGGCAACCAGTGCTCCCATGTCCAAAGCAATGAGCCTCACGTCGGAAAGATTGTTAGGAATATCTCCCTTCACGATCCTCTGAGCCAGACCTTCCACAACAGCAGTTTTTCCGACACCTGGTTCGCCAATAAGGACGGGATTGTTCTTCGTTCTTCGAGAGAGAATCCTAATAACCCTTCTGATCTCCTCGTCTCGGCCAATCACGGGATCGAGTTTCCCGGCTTGTTCGACTAAATCTCTTCCGTAAGTCTTCAGAGCTTGAAAATTTGTGTCCCCTGAAGCACTCTCAACCTTCTTCCCTTCCTTCCCACGAAGCTTCTCGACCTCAGACTTCACTCTAGAAGCAGCAACACCGGCTTCTTTCAGCAAGTCCCCGATCTGAGAATCTTCAAGAAGACCAAGAATCAACTGGTCCACGGCCAAATGTGAGTCACCGCGAGATTTCTGAGCGGCCTGAGCGCGGCGGATCACCTTGATCAGGCTCGTGCTTGCCGGAATATCGTCGGGAGGCGGTGACTGGGACGGGAGCTTCTTCAGGGCTTGTTTGATCACTCGCTCGGCTGACTGAGCGGCGTTTTCGCCTCCTGCGCTCGAAACCGCTTGAGGGAAGATCCCAGCAGAATCGGAGATCAGAGCAGCTGCGAGGTGAAGGGGGGTGAATTGTGCGTGAGCAGCATTCATCGCCAGTTCATGAGCAGTGGCAATGGCTTCATTGGTCTTGTGAGTGAACTTCTCAGGATTCATCTCTACTTATACCTCTGATTCCCACAATAACCTAAATGACAAAAGCGAATAATTCCTAATCTCAGCAATTTGCGGAAATGGGCAGTCGCTAAATCATCCTAAAACCCTCTCTGGATTGTAAAGATCGTGCCTTTTTCATCGGGGACACGATTTTTTTCGTCTCTTCTAAACACAACCGAAGCATGAACATGAAAAAGATGAGAGATTCGAACATACCTTGAGAAATCGACAATTGGGTTTCTTCTTCTCAGTAAACTTTTCCCGAGAAACAGACAGATTCCTTTTCCTTGAGAATTTGACAATGTAAAAAACTGAACAGCTCGACGAGAGATTCGATGAACTTGTGAAATCCTGAGCAATCTGCAAGTGAGGAATTCGGAGGAGACGAAGGGGCTTTTGATGAGGGATAGAGAGAAGTCTGGAAGGACCTGGAACCGTCATGGCTTTAAACTAGAAGTTACTGGAAACTCCCCGAGAGAAAGAGCCGGTTCCCAAAGCTTCCTATTGCCACGTGGATTTTCGCTTTTAATAAACATTTAATTTAATTGTCATTATCAGTATCTTTGCTTTTTCTTTTTTTGTCGCTAACTGTTTTGGTATTTGATTTAATAATAGATAATTTTTTTTTTATAATCTGGAAGTTCACCGGGCCTTTAATCCAACTACATCTTTCAGAGGATCGGGCAGTCCATGTGAAAACTTCTCCCCAACCAGAAATCGAACCGCCAACATCTGAATGCTTTGCACCCATCTGCTGACCACTCGCCTACAAACTGTTGGGTTCAAATAATAGATAAATTTAATGAGGCTGAATGGTAAATTTGAGTTGATCTCTGATATACTAACAAGAAAACAAAAAAAATGTGATGAGTTACTGATGTTAAATTTGTGAATTTGACAATGCGTACTTATAACATAATTTCATCATCATCATCATTATGTGAATACAATTCTCTATTTTCTTCCATTAGAGCTGATATATATATATATTTTTTGATGATGGAATTGAAGGGTAAATTTTTTAAATATTTATTATAAATATAAATTTACCGTTAATTCTTTTTATAAAATTTGGGTTCAGTTAATCAAGATCCAGAGATGTGAAATCTCATTATCAAATTTTTAAATGTTATGAAATCTGATTATAAATTTTAATACCTCAAATATCTACATGCTAAATTAGATCTCCTAAGATTTTGAAATGTAAGAATAAAATGAACTGGCCCGATCCAACTCAATTCTTCTCGTTATGATCTAAACATAGTTTAGTTCAATCCGACCTGATCTTAATCAAAAATTGATCGGTCTCAAATCATCTTAGTTCACAAGTCAAATGAGTAGACTCGTGAACCAAATATTTAACTTTAAAAACTAAAATTTAAATATTAAAAACTATTATAAATATTTAAAAAAATTATAAACATTTAAAAATATTTAAATATAATAAAAATTTTAAAATTTTAAACAAAATAAACAAAATATCTAATAAAAATACTACTTTTATATAATATATTTTAAATTATATAAAATAATAAAAAATAAAAAATATATTTTTTCTGCTTCATAACCAGTTTGGCTCGTGACAAGTTGCCTCGTTCGATCCGTTTTTTCTCAACTAAAATATTCTAAACCCGACTTAGAAAAATATGGATTGGTCCGCGAACCAATCCACGAGTGGACTCGTTTTACATCCCTAACTAGTCAAGGTACAAAATCGAGGTTAAATGAAAATCATAACTCGTTTGTGTAAACATAAGAGCCACGATAGGTTTGAGATTTGATGTTCATTTGGTTTACGGATATGATTATTTATTTATATAGATTAGATTGTCATGTATCTGATCAATGGTTGTGATATATATATATATATGTATATATATATATGTATATAATTATAAAAAGTATGTTATATTTTTTTTAAAAAATATGTTATCCAAGATTGAGTGGTTCAAACGGTAAAAAAAGGAGTAAAGCTCATTTCTAACCCAGATTCGAGTCTTCATTTAGGAACGGTTATTTATACGGATTTTCCCGATCTTCTATAAGATATAGTCGGGTCAAAGATTCGGTGAATTTTCGATTAACAAAAAAGTATGTTATGTGTGCACATAAATACTTCATATAATTGCTTTGCTTCGTTCTGGATATAATTTCGCTTTGAAAACGTTAATTTTTTTCAGGAATTGATTATATAATTAATAGATATTAATTAATTTCAACAAAGTGTCATCACATCAATGGAAAATCCACACACACAGAGAGACATCTATATATATACACACACACATAATACAATAGGAAATTGTGCATTAATTATACTTTAAATGGGAAAATCCAAATCTTGGAGATTGGTTGGTTTCTCCAATGCTAATATCAGAAACGGAAATAAAGATGTACCAAACGTAATGCCAATCGAATCTAAAAATTAAACAACACCCACCAAAACTAGAATCGGATCGCATAATACAAAACAGAAAACACAAATTCAGCAATAAAAATGAATTGAAATAATAATAATATATTAAAAGTATCATAAATATTGAGAGGATATATGTAACAAATATAAAGATATGGGCATTATTGATTTCTACAAAGGGGGTTTGGGATTATAATTATAAATAAGGTCTCTCTCTCTCTCTCTCTCTCTCAGTAGTTTAGTTTTATTAGTGAAGGGGAAATGGAGAAGTGGATGAGTGTGGTGGTGGTGATGATGGTGGTGGTGAGTGCATGTGCATGCATGGGAATGGGACAAGCGAGAGGAGATGAGAAATACGACAGATGCCTTCAGACATGCGTCAAGGACAGATGCATGAGGGGCTCCACTCCTAACCCTAATTGCGTCATGCTCTGCGAAGACTTCTGCTATCACGGCCCAGGGTTCGTTTCTTGGTTTTGGATTTTTCATTTTTTTTATAAAAAAATTGTGTATATATGAATGTATATACTTTATATATATATATATGTGTATGTGTATACTCAATGCATGTATTTGTGCATATATGTATATATTTATACATATATGCGTGTGACTAGAAACTGTTTTTTTTTTTTGACGACGGCAGAGGAATGGCAGCAAGGACGAACAAAATTGGAGTATGAATGCTTCTATTCCGTGTTATGAAAATGTATGATGTTATGAAAATGTATGATGGGACTAACAGGGAAAAAATTCCATGTATTTACAGTTTCAATAATATAGTTTGGGATTTTATATTGAGGCATAAAAGTGACGACATCTTGATTTCCCCACCACCAAAATCAAGGAGTCCTGATTGAACTATTTTTCGGAAGAATACTTCGTAACTTTCTAAAACATTCAACAACAAAAAATTCTAAATTTACAGTTTCTCTTCCAAACTAAACGGTAAATTTTTCTGATCAAATTTTCTAATGATGATCTAACAATTACGTCAGCGCCACGTCAACCAAAAAATAACAAAATATGCATAGATGCAAAAGGAAGAAACTTGTGTAGAACCCTCGTCAGATATTCAGAGTGACAAGCAATGGTGTTACTTATTGTACAATTTGGTTACCTCTTTAACTGTAAAGCAAGCCAGTTTTTTTTCCGATGAACAAGACAACAAATTGACAAGATCTCAGAAGAATCGATGTTATTAATCATAGGATCCAGAATTTAACCTGAAATTTTCATCAGGAGTTGAGAGAAGAATGGTAAAGAGTGATGGATTGGTTACTGTGTGGGCAATTCACATGGAGCTTTGTGGTCTTTGGGCTTGTACTGACCGAGCACCTCGGCCACGGTCCTGCACCGGCATTCTTTTCCTGGTCTTATCACATCTCCATAGACCGCCATTTCGATAATGTCAAGCTCCTTGTCTGTATGTTCATACAGAAAAAAAGAAAAAAAACACAAATGCTATCTTCAGGAGATGACACATGAGTATCGATTCATTCAAGAACAAGACAGAAGTTACAATGGAAGTTGTGAGGGTTTCCCAGACAAGTAGACCAGGTAACTCAGCATATAAGGATAAGCTTCACATAGAAGCTTAAAAACTTAACTAGATTTCTCTGCAGATGATACAATGACAGTTGGCTACACAAGTTTATCCTGTCTGGTTGATGAGGATTTCCTATACAACTCAGACAGAAGTTTATCCTGTGCGGGTAATGACCAATTCTTGAAGATGAGGTAAAACCAACAAGAAAGCAACCCAAGAAGACCGAATTCACACTCTGTCTATGTAGCACAAGTTAGGATTGGCGACATACCGGTAAATTGAATGTCACAGGAGTAGCCTTTAAGTTTGTTCGCATCCAGCTTTTCTTGGGCGGATTTTAGCCTATTCACTCTAGTCTGCAGAATCTGGCAATTTTCCAAGGTTGATTCTCCTCCTGCAACAGAAGTAACAACAAAGAAAAACCTCAACTGGCAGTCATGTAATAGAAGGATCAGCGCCCTCTGTTTGAAGAGGAGGGATAATCGATCTCGCAACAACAGAACTAAAGTAATTAGCTTTGGATAAAGTGGTTCTGAATTAGAAAACTGTCTCATTTCCACAGACAACATCTGTCATGGAGATCACAAGAATGACTGTCTGTCAGATAAATACTCAATCCTACTCGGAAACACCACCTTGGAGAATCATTAGATTGATTCGATGAGAAACTGTTTCACTTCCACATGCATCAGGGTTTTCAGAAATCGCCAAAAATGGCAGTCTTCGGGGAATCATTACATGATTACAAAACAACAATAATGTTGAGACCAAATGAAATGGACAAAATGAAAACTAGCCAGACAAGCTTCCAAGTTTTGCCAATTCAAACAACACAGCAGCTATACACGTTAAATGAATTGCAAAGCTCTTTGAAAAGTTCCATAAAAAGAGCAACTAAGAAAGAATCGTGTGATAACAGTTGCCTTCATGATCAAGAGATCTCCAACTCAAATTAGATTGACTGATGAATTCTTACATATGATAGTACCCGCAATTCACACATGATGAGATGCTCGATCCTATTCCAAAATACCACCTTGGCTTCATTATGAAACCAACAGAATTCACTGATGCAATGATCACAAAATTACTCGGGTTCATCGGAAAAACCATGGTCCGCTAATCTCAGAACAAAAAAAAACAACGTTCGTACAAACCCCACAAAAACTCGGTAAAACACTCAAAAAGATTCAGGAAATCGTACAGTATCCTTATCCAAACCCTAGTTTCATCAGCCAGTCAGACAAACTTTGAAAATCGAAGAATCTAAGAGAAGACCCAAATTGACAAACCTTTGGAGTAAGGAACAATGTGATCGTACTCGAAGCAGAGACATCCACTGCAATTACAGAACCGCTTGCAGACAATGTTTCCGGCGGCGTCTTTGCGCCACCTCTCGGGGTGTCGACCAGGGATGATATCGGCGTTTGCCCAGCACAAGCTCTTCGTCTTCGCGTCGAAGTAGCGAGGTCTCTCTTCTCCGTTGGTGCTCCCTCCGTAGCTGTAGCGCGACGGCGAAGGAGGTGGCGAAGGAGGCGGCGAGGACGCGGCGGAGAAAGATGAAGATGCGACGAAGGAAGAAAGGATCGAGGCAGAGGAGCCCATCTCGTTCGCTCTGTCTCGGTTTGAACCGGGGATTTTATGAAAGACGGTTATTGAATATAAACCGAACTAAACCAGAGTTTGATTTGACAACGGTTTCCGTGAGAGAAAACTGATTTTTTTTTTAACAGAATTTCTAGAAAAAGCCATACTATCTCTGAATTATAGATTATTTGTATAATTTATAATATTACTTTTTAATTTATTAAAATCAAACCAGATATATAAAAAATGAAATGAAACGAAAATGAAAATTATTTTAAATAAAAAATAATATTTTTTTTAATTTAAATCAAAAGTAAAACAATATTGTTGGACAGGCCGAGTGTAGCCCATCCCATTGAGATCCTATTTAGTCTGTCCAACATGATTTGCCATTTCACAATTAATCAAACTACACAAATATTTTATCCTTTACAAAAATTAATTCTTTTATTTTATTTAAAAGAAACCCAAAAGAACACGTAACTCTTCTTCAAAATACAAAAATACACGAATTTTTTTTTTGATACATTGGGAACCCCGTGACTACCTACCCTTACAAACGGAAACAAACTGGCCACTACCCGCGCCTAACAGTCCCCATGGACCTCAGTCCGCCGGACCTGGCCACCAGGCGCGCCTAATGCTCGGGTCGTAGTTGGACTTAGGCGCCTGCGGGTCAAATCTCAAGCCCACGCGCACGAGCCTGCAACACACGCGTAGGAGGTAAATCAGCCCGTTATGACAAGTTGGCAGGCGAACAGGTCAGAGGAAGTGAGACGGTGAGGAATCGAACTCCCCACCTCATGGGTGCTCCCCATGCTCACTACCACCTGAACTGGGGGCGAACCCCAAATACACGAAATTTTAGTTTGATACTAATTTTCCTAGAATATCAAATAAATGCAATAATTTTCAAAATTCTATCAATTTTCACACTGATAATTTGGAAATTCGAAAAAAAATACACGAAATTTTAGTTTGACACAAGACGTTGTTATCGCATGTGTAATAATCTGATAAGATTTTGAGAATTAATGTATTTATTTGATATTTTGGGAAAGTTTATATATTTTTTATGTGAAAATAATCATTTTTGTATTTTCTATTATATCTTGAAAATTTGGAAATAATGTATTTTTCGATTTTTTTAATTATAAATAAGTTACTTAATTCTATCTACAACAGAAAATATGATTTATTCAAATAGAGATATAATTACCATCTGCTTTAACAAATTACCATCTAACAAATCTAATATCTAAAAAATGTAAAATAATTATTTTATAATTATTTTAAATTTGAAATTCCCTACTTGTGATTGATCCGAGATTTTAACATGAATATGCCAGTGGTCGAAGGACTCATTTAAAATATAATATAAATATTTAGAAAATTATATTACAAAATATGAGAAAATGTAGCAAAGCATATGATTTGGTCATAGTAGTTACGTAAACAACTCATTCAAGGTTGACCATTGTACTCTAAGTTTTGACTTTTAATTAGCTTTTATCAATTTAATTTAATTTAATTTAATTTAATTTAATTTAATTTGATTTAATTAGCACAGAGGCTGCCACATCGGGGCGAAATGGCGACACCTCTCACAAGTTTGCCATCATCTCTTCGTTGAATTGTTCATCAGCTTCGTATTTTTTTTTTCTAATCTTCAAATTGTAATTATTTGCTTCCTTATCACCAATTTTCAAAAGGTTTATACATATAATACATATGTATGCATAGGTATATACGTATAATCCTTATATATATATATATATGCATTTACACCTATACATTGTATTATTTAAATATTTGAACCATGTAAACTAACAATGATCTATTATTTTATTATTCTCTTAACATCATTTGATCTTGATATCACATCTTTCAGCATTTTATAAAACAAAATTTCAAATAAACCAAGAGAAATAGATTTTTTTTTTCTTTTAAATTTCGTATTTTCTTTCGAGTTGGGTCTTACCCATAAAAATAACAAATGAAATGGATAGAAAAAGAAAAATTGTAATTACTAACGACGTCGTTTTCGAGAGGCAATTTCACACGTGTTTCGTTGTAAATTTTGGCTTTCCATTTTTTTTCTTAATTTATTTTATTTCCCTTGGTTGTTTTTGGCATTATAAATGAATTCAACAAAATGGACCCAACTTGAAAATTTTGCACCACTTGGAACTTTCAAAAATTAGAATAATCTTTGGCCTTGTCAAACACGTCTAAATATTCCATCTTATCGGTGAAATTCTTTAAAAATTTGGAAATAAATTATGATGCTAATTCAATTTAATTAGAAATAAATTTATATAGTTGGTTAAAAGAATATATTTAAAATAGCCTCACATTAAAACCCATGGTTCTTCCCGTTCACCAATAAAATTTTGTTGTTAGAGACGATTGGTTAAAAAACATGACACATAGTTTGAAATTTCATTAAGTTTTGTATTTATTAGTTTTAGTTCTACGTTTTTTAGGCATAACTTTTATTAATTAAATTAGTTATTATTATTTTTTTAGTTAATAAATTTTATGATTATAATAAAATAAATAAATAAACATTTTTAAGAAGGAAAATATTGTAAAATAATATATTTAATTTTCTGTGTTTTACCTTATTTTTTAAAACTGTCACGGTCAATTTTATACAAAACTCAATTAAGGGACATTAATTTTGATTTTGTAGACTAATTAAATTAAAATAATACACGGTTTTGACCCAGGGAGAAAATTTGTAACAAAAATACTAAACAATATAGAAATAAAATGAATATGAAATAATAACCTGAGATATGTGTCTAAATAATGCCGAGAAAAAAAAAACGTTGGTCAAAGTATAAAATAAGTCAACGATTGCTGTCCAAGATTAGACACTAGGGCCCTCAAAAAAATCGTTGTTTATTTCTTACACTTTTATGAATAATATCCCAACAAAAATCTGATTTGAAAATAAATTTCTTTATCTTTTGTATTTTTAATATTCTAATTTTTCAGTAACATAATCGGATAAACCACATAAATATATTCAGAGAACTAAAATAATTATTTTTTAATATTAAGAAATTCTAATGTAAGTGTTTGTTTTAATTTTGTGTATCATGAGACTTTCTTATTTATATTATTATTGATGAAATTTATTTTGAAAAATTTGTATCCATTTGATTTTCGCTTGAATTTTAACAAAACAATTGACGCGTATTTTATTTAAATTCATTCAAAATATATTTTCAAAACCATGCTATATTAAAAAAATATAGATAAGATGATTAATAAATAAGAATCCAATATAATTTAGAAATTTTAAAAATAATTTTTTTTAAAAAAAATTATTAAAAAAACAGACGAAGCAGTAAAAAAATTGTATAATTGATGTCGATCTAGGATGTGATCTAATCTTGTTTTAATTCCTAAATACAATCACCGCAAGTGTACGGATCAATTGTAGTACCTAGGGTCGAACACAAGGACACGTGTGGTTTAACGACAACAATTACGATTATTACTCGGTTTCGGTCGGAGACGATAATGATGATGGTGATGATTATAACTGAAAGTAAACACGAATTAAAGCAAATACAAGCAAAGACTTAGCACAATTCTATAAAACATCGTAGGTGTCGGGAATTACGGGTTATGTAAGGATCGCTTCTACGGATGTATCTT